TCCTCAGCCAGCAAAGCTGGCTGAGGAACTCTGGGAGTTGAAGTCCACAAGTCTTAAAGTGGCCAAGGTTGGAGACCCCTGTCCTAGGAGATAACTCATTGTTACCATCAGAGACAAGAGAATGAAATAAGGTTCTTTAGGCTGAGCACGAATTAGATATCATGCTCCCCAAAGTCCTTGGCACCCCACTTTTGGCCTCCAAACTGAGCAGACGGAGAGATACAAGCTGTGCTGACAAACAAACACCCTCCCAGGAAGAACGGTGGGCAGCCATTTTCGTTCTGCCGTCAAGGAAAGGATCCCTAAAAATCACGGGAAGTCAAGCTCGTCTCAAGGATGACTTCATTTACAGGTAGCCATTCATTTAGTTCAAAGTTACGACAGCACTGGAAAAAAAGTGACTTATGACCACTTTTCACGTGTACGACCATTGCTGCCTTGCGTCACATGATCAAAAATTGGACTCTTGGCAACTGGCATGTACTTATAACCAGGGGTGGGATTCAGCCGGTTCAGCTCGGTTGGAGAGAACCGGATGTTAAATTGACATCCGCTTCGCCGAGCCGATAGTTGAACTGACCGGCTGGCCCCGCCCACCCCATCCCACTCCTCCCAGGGGGTCTCTGCTTAGCCAATTTTGGATGCAGGTAAAAGCGCAGGGCCCGCGTGGAGGTTCTGGGAGGGTGAAAAATGGGCCGGAAGTTCCGGAAGTCTGGAAACGGGCCTGTTTCTGGCTCCTGGAGGCCCTCTGGAGCCCGGGGGAGATTGTTTTCACCCTCCCAGAGTCCCGAGGGAAGCCTCCGGACTCTGGGAAAGGCGAAAAAAATGGCCAAACAGAAAGTTATGGTAGGCCACGCCCAATGTGGCCACGCCCACCCAGCCCCCGGGCAGAGAACCGGTTGCTGGGGGTTTTGAATCCCACCCCTGCTTATGATGGTTTCGATGTCCCAGGGTCACGTGGTCACTTCTTGGGACCTTCTGACAAGCGATGGGGAAAGCCAGATTCCCTGAAGAACCGTGTTACTAACTGAACAACTCCAGCGATTCACGTAACCGACGCCTAAGTTCAATGTTAAGCATCGAACTCTTCATTCTCTAAACCGGCTGGGGAATTCTGGGAGCTTGAAGTCCACTCATCATCCGGGGGCCGAAGTTGAGAAAGTCTGAATAAAAGTGATGGAGATGCAGGGCAGACTCACCTCCCTGGGGGAAAAATTGGGCGTAGATAAGCTTGAAGGTCTCTTCATCCACCAGGCCACTGGGACATTCCTAAAGACAAACCACACACAAGTTACACGTGGTGACCCCGGGTGGGATACAAAACAAACACAGTCACAGAAAACAGGCGAAGCCCCTTTTATTCCTTCACTTTGCTTCCAAGCTCTGAATATCTTTGACGGAAAACCAAAAAAAAAACACCTCCCACACAAACAGTTACAAGAAGGAAAAAAGCAACACAAACCAGGCAAGATAAGGGCTGGAGGACGTCCACCGATAACACACCCTGGGAAGGACGCCAAAGTCAGAGAGGAACCATAAACTAGAGATATTTCCATGCTTTCTTTCCAGCACTCGCCCATACGCATGTCACAGCTGCAGCCCATGAAGAGGATCAAGGCCCTCTCCTCCCCCATAGACCATGTCTCTCCCTTATCCTCTCCTCCCTTCGTGACCTAGGAGGGAGAGGGGATGGGCCTGGGTCCTCTTCTGGCTGCCCAGCCGGCCTCTGCCCTTCCCCAGACTCTTCCACATCCTCCGGAGCCACACCTCCACTCCCTGTCAGCTGTTCCTCCTCTCCCTCAGAGTCCGACTCCACCAGGTGCACGAACAAATTCAACTCAGTTGTTTCTTCTGCTTCTCCCTTTCTTTCTCGACTGAAGACCCCCAGAGCTCCTTCCCAGAGCCTCACTTGCCCGGAAGAGTTTGATCTACTGTCATTTCAAAACAGAAGTGGCCCATTCGGCAGCTACTCCGGCTCTCTTTCTTGCACGTTGTGCCCCCAATATTCACTAGGAAATCCCACAATAATGTGGGATTAATTCTCTTCCGATTTTCAGCTCAAAAGGTAATAAAATAGGTGCGCTAGAAAATTCCATGCCCTTAAAATGAAACCACCATTGATTTCTCGGCCCTCCCGAGCTCCGTTTTCGCCGGCAGAACGCTGCAGGAGGCTGTCGCAGCTGAAAACGGAGCCCGGGAGGGGTGCACCCAACACGAGGGATGTCAAGCTGGCCACACCCAGCCGGCCCCTGAGCTCCAACACCACCCTGATGCGGCCCTCGATGAAATTGAGTTTGACACCCTCGGTGTAGGGTCTCCTGCAAATCAATGATTCTGCGTTCTGTACGCTCAGGACACAGCTGGAAGCTGGAGTGGCGTGTCTGAAAGCGAAGGCTGTGGATGTGCCAGTTGGTCCGAGGGGAGCCGGGCTGCGGCTGCCCCCAAGACGTGAGCCAGAAACTATAGCCTGGGTGGCATATTTTACAGCGGCTGCCAAGAGCCAAGCATTACAGGAAAGCCATTAAAGATACATGATGCAGAAGGCAGAGGTGGTTTCCTGGGAGCGGGGGAGGGAGGACTCTTGCAAAGTCCCCCCTGGCTCCCTGCCCGGGCTTAGTCAACAGCCCATCTCCGTGCCAGCGGGACCAGATAAATGAACCTCGGGTTCGCTGAGTGTTTTTTTCGGAAACGGTACAGTTTCTGTTTGGGAAGGAGACGCTATGGATTGTTGGGGGGGAAAGAGTTTGAGGAGACACCGCGATGAGGTTCATGGTCGACCCTGAAGCTGACCTGTGTGCAGCAGGGGTGGGCTTCAAAAATGGTAGCAACCGGTTCTCTGCCCGGTTGCTGGGCGGGTGTGGCCTCGTCGGCCTCCTGTACCGCAGCGGGGGGGACTGTTTTCACCCTCCTCGGGCTCTGAAGGGTTTGATTGAGCCTCCGGGAGGGTGAAATGGTCTCCCTGGGCTCCAGAGGCCCTCTGGAGGCTGGAAGTGGGCCCTCTGGAGGCTGAAAATAGGCCCTCTGGAGGCTGGAAGTGGGCCCTCTGGAGGCTGCA